ATAAAATAGCCAAACACCAGAAAAGCAACAGATCCCAGGAATAACAAAGTAAGAGGAATATCTGAGACATCCTTCAGAATATCCTCCATAGCGCAACTGAAAAAACCATTGAACTTTTGGATAGTAATATTTTCCGACATTTTCAATCAAAGGAAATTGTACTTGTATGTATGTATGTATGTATTTATTTTCAACCGAAAAGAAAAATCTTACCTGTAATGACCGTTGCCTGCCAGTAGGAGGTGGGGCGCACCTGAATCCACGTGGCAGTGGTGTTGATTGAGAAAGTAAACTCTAGAATATATACACTCAAATCCAGAGGTTAAATCCACAGATCACAAAAGGTCAGAGAGCTTCTAGTGGCCAAAAAACAAGGCAATAAACAAGGCCCTGCTGCTCTGTTCAACCGGATGCAGAGGGTCGTGACACAGCCACTGCGCTGTTGCTAAAGAGGCCTAGTGCTTTGGGCCCCATGTCCCTGTGCTGGGATTAAGGGTCAAGCTGCTTTCAGCACTCCTAATCAGTTATGGGTTTCAAACAGCTTGCAGGAACTTCAAAGGGAGCTTGCGCTGTGAGCTCTTTGACTCACGTTGCAAGGAGAAATTTAAAAATCCGTGCCGAACAGGGCAAAGTAAGCCGGCAGAGACTGTCCGGACCTGTGTATCCTGGGAGGCCGAGCTGGGGGTGGGGGGGTGGGGCGGTTCTTAAACCAAACGCTGGGTGCCAATTATTAACGAATCAATCCCACACCAGTTATGTTTTAAGGGGTTATTTATTTGGCGGGGGGTAAAACTTACATACACCATAAACCGTCAGGAAGGGAGCCTAGTCGCTGGAGCAGGAGCCGGGAGCAGCAGCTGAGACCGAGCACCGGAACCAAGAGCCGGAACCAAGAGAGCCTTATCCGGAACTGCTTCTCTTTTTAAGAGAGAAATATACCACGCCCCAGTGGGCTGGTATTTCAGCAGCTATTGGCTGACGGAGCGGAAGTCGCTCCCCGCTGCACTGTGGGCTCCTGCTTCAGTGATTATTGGTTGAGGCAGCGGAAGTTACTCCCACAACAAAAGGTAGAATACTTTAACTCATTTGTTTGCTGTATTATGGTTTGGACCTGAAACAATCTCATAGGCTCATATATTTTGTTGATTTATCTTTATCCTTTTAAGGTAATTTTTTTATGTGTATGGGTGTTTTTGCCTACATAAATGTCTGCATACCACATGCATGCAGACTGCCCATAAAGGCCAGAAGAAAGAAGTTTCCCTGGGAACTGGTGTTGCATACAGTTCTGAGCTGCAGTTTGAGTGCTGGGAATCAAACACAGGTCCTCTGGAAGAGTAGCCACGGACTTTAACCACTACACCATCTCTCCAGCCCCAAGCTCATGTGCCAGAACACCTGGTCCCCGGTTGGTATTACGATCCTGAGAGGTTGTAGGGCCTGGCTGGGGGAGTCTTTGAGGGTTATGGCTCAACTTTGCTTCTATTCCCCTTTTCTCTGAGGCCTGATCTGCCAAGTGTGAGTAGTCACCATGACATGCTCCTATTGCCCTGTCTTCCCCACTGTGACAGAATCAACTTCTAGAGTCACGAGCCAAAATAGTCCTTTACCCCTTAAGTTACTTCTGTCAGATATTTTGTCTTCCCAGCAACAAGAAAAGTAACAAATACAGTTTTATGAATTTTAATGTAAAACTCCTAGAAATTAACTCATTACATTTAATAGTTTATTAAAATATATCAAGTTAAGCAATGTAAGAATGGTATGACAACTATTTCACTCACTTTAGTGGCTAAATGCAGAAAAATAGCGCAATAAACTTCAAGTTTTTCCTGTAAATATCCTAAAATGGCTGTGATTAAATCTGTATATTAAAAACCTATAACAATATGCTCAAATTGGGAAGTTTTTTTTTCAGCATTCCTGTCTTAGAATCTTTTCTACTGCTGTGACAAAACACCATGGTCAAGGCAGCTTATGAAAGTGTTTAAATGAGCTTATGATGTCAGAAGGTTAGAGTTTGTGTTGGCAAATCAAAAATATAGTGGTGGGAGCAGCTAAGAGCTCACATCCTGAGCCACAAACAGGAAGAGAGCAAGCACACTGGGAATGACACAAGTCTTTTGAAACCTTAAAGCACACCCCTAGTGACAAACCTCCTCCAAAAAAGCCATGCCTCCTAATCTTTCCCAAACAATTTCACCAATGGGAAGCAAGAATGAAAATATATGAGCCTGTGGGACCCATTCCTATTCATACTACCACAGTTCCCCCAAACACTGAATGTAACACAAGAGTCCATTATCATGACTAGGGCTTAATGTATAGTAGGAACCTTAGCCAATGAAATAAACTCAAAAAGAGGACACATCTGTTTTGAAAAGAAAGAGAACAAAATGTTATTAAATACACCCTCAACAAAATTTGCACAGGCTGGGCAGTAGTATGCGTGTCTTTAATCCTAACACTCGGGAAGCAGAGGCAGGTGGATCTCTGTGAGTTGGAGGTAAGGCTGATCTACAAAGGTAGTACCAGGAGAATAGTAGGAGGAGATGCTTGTTTGTCCCAGCTGCCCAGAATCGAAATAACCACACAGGAACTGTATTCATTAAATCACAGCTTGGCCCATTAGCTGTAGGCAGTTTCTTTATTCATTAATGGCAATCACAACACACAGAGGGGACTCCTACATCACAGGGCAGCTAGGGTTGTTACACAGAGAAACCCTGTCTCAAAAATCCAAAAAGAAAAAAAGAAAAGAAAAGAAGGGGGGGGCGATTTACACAGGACAAACCCAGAGCCAATAGGTAAACTAGTAGATCTACTAAGAAAGTATCCTGGTACCATTGCAAACTAGTAGAAAAGTAATAAAATAGAAGTTGCAATTTATGGCAATTGAAAAGGATTAATACATTAATTAAGAATTAATTCTTGACCAGGTGGTGGTGGTGCATGCTTTTAACCCCAGCACTTGGGAGACAGAGGCAGGTGAATCTCTGTGAGTTCAAGGTTTACAAAGCAAATTTCCAGGACAGCCAAGCCACACAGAGAAACCCTGTCTTGAAATGCCAGAAAGAAAGAAAGAAAGAAAGAAAGAAAGAAAGAAAGAAAGAAAGAAAGAA